AAAATCGGGGTCTCAAAATCAATGTTTCCAGTCAACTGCGTTCTGGCGGTAAAAAATCGTGTCTACCAAAGAAGAGCAAGTCGAATTTTTCACCATTTTGAGAAAACACTTGGTTCTACTGACGCTGAAAGTTTCATACAAATCGCCCTGCATCCGAAGGTTTGCCACCTTGGCAAAGGTGACTATGAAAATGAACGCTTTACCACAGCCGCACTCTCACCAGTAAGAAAAGGGCATTTTTGGAGGTAGTAATCCAAAGGCACGCGACTTTATTTAAACAAATTTAGCAATGGAGGCGACTTAATTTCTGGAACAGCACGAATTTGAATGAATAATTTTATTGGCCTGCGATGGGTGATTAAGATCGACGACGCTGCGGATTGGCCACCGGCTTCCAATGTGGCAGTTTTCGCTGCAGTACATTGCAGCAGCAGACAAGTTCTGCCAGGGCCCGGCTGCTGCAAATGACTCCGGGCAGTAAACCCCATTTTCTTGCCGGTACGGATAAAAAACCAAACGTGCTGGATTTACGTATTCCGAATGGCATTCTGAGGAGTTCCCACTAGGAACAGGGGAACAGGAAACCAAAATTATATGGGCTTCCATTCAGTGTGATCTTATACAGGGAGATTCAAAATTGGCGTCATTCCTCTGGGGGTGTTTTGGGAGTACAGAAAAAATAGTAAAATAAATTAAATGTTATTAAAAACTTAGATATTTGCAAAAAACTAGATCAGAAGGATGGCAACAATGTTTTTCAAGGTAATCTGCCTAATTAACATGACGTAAATACCTGTTCCGTCGTAATTATTAAAAACTCCGGTAACCACGGAGAAACATGAAGCAAAGAAAATAAAAGAGACAATAACATGCGTTGAGGTTAGGAGATCGGTGTCACCTTACGGTCAGTGTCATCTTTTTGGGACAAATGAGTGATATTCCTAAATCGGTCACAACTGTCATCCAAAATCACCTGTTAAAGGTTATGTATCATTGATGAAATAAAATACAATTATGTTGTTAAAACACAAGTGTTCGCGAGAGCAAGAAGTCCTGTCCGTTTCACTCCAAACATCTTTGTGTCCCAATCACTTTGAGTCTGGGCTCATATTTTGAGCAGCTTCTCGTGTGCGGTTCATTAACTGCTGCTCAATTTGAACCGGTGTTCGGAAGATCAGAGATTTAATGTGTTCTAGTGTCCTGTGCATATTACATACATGGTAGGAATGTAGGCTCTTCCTCGGGGGAGTTATCGGGACAATTAAATATCCGGTGGTGTTTGAGAACGTGCAGTTGTTGTGCAATGCTTCAAGTAATCCTGGAAGGCTCAGCTGCAATAATCTCCAATACCTGTTCCTCTAGGTCTGGAACCGGAGCACCTTTAGATTGTACACTATCTGCGTCCATTTCGGGCCACTCGTCTAGTGTGTAGCTGTTTGCTGATGTAAGTTCTTACAGCTTTTGCTATGTTACTGTGGCATTTTCCCATACCTAGTCACATATTCGCTGTTGGTTTACATTTTGTCAAAGGAGCTTCAAAATAAGCCACAGTTTGACAAATGCTTGCTATTATTGACAAAGGCTGTCTACCTGTAACTATCTGTTAATGACTAAATCTATCTGTTAATGACTGAATGAGAAGAGTACTTTTTTAATATAAAAAATTTCCGTAATTTGACAAAAAGATCGTAATTTTTTTTTTTTCGAATGCTTAAGTATTTCAATAGGCTACCAATTAAACGTGGGACCTTTTCAAAATAATGCTTAATAATAAAGTTGAAATTCGATCTTCAACTCAAAAAAAATGGTGTGCGTCACGGGACGCTCGACAGAAGTGGTAACGTCATAAATTAATAGAAACCATAAAATATTGAACTTTTTTTTTATTTTATATTATAATTTTAATATTCTTGTTAGTCTAATAATTTATAAATAGATCAGGAATAGGTAAAATTTAATTTAATTTCCTTTTGAATGTAATTTTTTTTAATTTGCAACATTTAACATTCTTTAACGAGATGTTGTACATATTGCTCTTCTTGGGTTTGTGTAAACTCTTCTTCTTGATTTTCTGTATTTTTTAGTCGTAATTTCTTATTTGCTTTGTATAATCTTTGACGGTCAGCACTAGTTCGTTGATGAAAGCTACTTTGACTTGATCTATTACTTAATGCTCCTTTTTTAGCACGAAATCGTTTTTGGCGTTCAGCATTACTTAATACTTTTCGAATTGTAACGTCTTTTTGTGACTGCTCTTGTGTATGTTGTTCATGAACGTCTGCTACAACTTGTATCTGAATAGGACTAAAAAATAAATTAATTTTGGTGATTGGAAGACGTTCTACCCGTTTAAATAGACGGTAAAACGAGGAAGAGCTATAGAGACAGGACACACTTGACACACTATATGTATACATAATGTAAGCCATCGCGCGTATGTTATAAAATTCTAACTAAACTAATCCAAGGCTAAAAAATTAAACTAAATTGAGAAGATTTAATCATAAAGGAATCAAAGTGTATATTAAGGGAAAAATCCATTTTGATGCGTGGTAAACGCAATTGGTCAAAGAAATAATATAGAGTATTGAAAATAAGCCCTAATAAATTCGTTTTACATATTTTGCAACTATAAGCTGAAGAGAGAATCGTATCGTCTTAACATCAAGAATGCGTTGCGTGATAGAAAATAAGAAGACAGAACCCATGTTTTCTGAAATAACCGAGGTAAACTCAAATATTTTTTCAATTCAATTCAAAACATTACATATTATTACAAAACAGTAATGATGTTTATCATTTTATGTTAAATATGAAAGATTACAAAATAGATATCCAAATATTGATAATTTGTTGTTACAAAATAAAATATCAAATAATAGAACATATTATTGCATTAAAAGTTATTAATAATAGTTGGGACACTTTATTTGCCCTTAATCTTGAGCGTTTTTCATAAATTGACTCTGCCTTCTTTAGAAAATATCCGCTCAACATCTGGTTTAACAATTGTCTCCGATGAAAACCACTAAACAACTAGGTAGTAATATTTTACGCGATCGGAACTTTGAATCGTGCAATACTATGCAAATGAAAATCATCTGGACATCATCTGGACTACAGACGGAGAGTAAGATATAGGGAATCGGTACCGGGATTCTATCGATACGATTTAATTTAATTTAATCTTTTCTTGATACGAATTTGCGTCCACAATCAATCACGCGATTTAAAATAGGTCCAACAGTTTTTCTAAAACTTTATTGTAGTGGTTCTTAGGCACAATTTTGTTGCACATCGATTGTTAGTTCTTGAAACAATATTTAACAGT